GGTTTATATCTCAACAAAATTTCTATGCGGTTGGTTTGTTTTTGTCGTGTAATTTCTTTGATTCTTTTCCATTTCAATATCGTAAAACGCTGAAGAAGAAGACGCGACGGCGGGATGACAATCATGGTTGCTCGAAACTATGCTGTTATTGTTGTAGTTGCTTCTTCATATCGTTTGTGTGTTTTTATTTTCTTTGCTGCAGTGGTAGTAAATTATGTGAATTAAAAGAAATACCCATATTCTTATTGTACGGTACTTTATTTTTCATAAAATCTTCAACACAGTGGATTATGAATAGAGGGACAAAAACCTAAAGAATGCCTATATATTAGTACTTTCTTTTCTGTTCGTCTAAGAAACTTCTCTCCGATATACCTATGCATATACAGGGCGAGATGAAAAAACTGCATCCAACTTCAGACTGCTGTCATTTCTAAACCACTCGTGTGATAGCTGTCAAAATTATTCCAGTTGGTGAGAATTTTCAAGAACAAAAAAAATCGTGATGGAATTCAAGCGTGATAGTGAGATTTCTTTATATTTGGCTGGAAAACCACAAGAGCACCCCAGCATTTAAATGTGAATAAATCTTTTGTGTTTTGTAGCATCCTGGTACTGGTAGCGTAGCCCGACGTCAAGGAAGTGGACGGTAGAAAACAGCAACATCAGCAGAAATGGTTCGAAAAGTAAAAAAGAAGAAACCCGCGTCGCAGTGGCCGAAAAATGTCTCGTGAGCTGAACATATCGCAATATTCCATTCGGCAAATATTGAAAAATTAGCTCGGGGTAAAGCCATTGAAATTCCAAAGATTGCAAGAACTTACACCGCAACAGAAAGAAAATAGACTCAAAAGAGCTGAAGTGTTGCTTCGTTTGGCCGAGAGTGGTAAACTGCCGAATTTGGTTTTCTCCGATGAGAAAACATTCGTTGTCCAGCAGTTTGTAAAAAAACAAAATGATCGTGTTCACTTGCCAAAGAGGTCAGCTGAAAATGTGCACCTTCGGTTGGCCACCAGAACTGAAGCGCCGACCATGGTGATGGTGTGGGCAGCCATGACAGACGACTGTCGCTCTCCGCTCGTATTAATCTACTGTGCCATCAGAATAAATGCCGAATATTATCGCGAAAATATTCTGGAGGGTGTATTAAAACCTTGTGCACGCAAACATTTTCTCACACTCAGCACGCGCCACCCAAAAATGGTTGTAAAATGAGGTTCCTCGCTTCAATGGCCACCAAAATCTCCGGATACCAATCCCTTGGATTATTGTGTCTGGAGTATTTTGGAAAACAAGGTTGGCACTAAAAAATACCAATGTGTCGATCACCTCAAGCAAGCGCTTCGCCGGGAATGGGCCAAAATACCGCAGAGCAACATTCGGACAGCGTGTGACGGTTTCATTGGTCGTTTGAAGGCCATAATTTGTGATAGATTAGAACAAATCTAAAATTATTCTACAATTTAATGCTGTTTCCGACATTTTTTTTGCTTTTATTCAATAAAAATTAAAAAAAAAAAACTGTAAAAATTATGTCGTTTGACTTTGCTGCAGTTTTTTTTATCTCACCCTGTACTTCCTTCTATGCACGCTTATGCATACTCCCATCTGTGGACATCTGAAAGCTTATAGAAACTTCCTTTCCCTGGGTCTCTGTAAATATTCACTTCTACAGGTGCCAAATAACCTATCTCGAGGATTGACGAAAAGTTTTCTAAACGCTAATCACATCTGAATCTGGGCCATCCTTATGGACCTATTTTCTCTGGCGCCTTTGAGTGGTTTTCTTGGAACTACTAACCCACTGTGCCTTAGTTACCTTTGCGTTTTACGTTTGTTTCTCCCTTTGTCGACATTCGAGCTTAGCTTGGTCATTGTTTTTTTTTCGTAATAGGTGTGTATTTTGTTGGGCAGTCTGACCAGATGACTGACTAACTGACTACTGGGGCGTCAAAGGTATACGCGCTGGTATTGAGTCTGGGGTGTCACACTTACACGACGTTGTCGTTCGGGTATCGCCTACAGTTTCTTTATAAATTTCTTGTCTGGTTTTTCCAATAGCCACCACAACCAGCACGACCGCATCAGCCTCGGATGCAACCACATGGTGGTGATGATTTGCTGCACTGCACGTATTCCAGCCATACATCACGTCAAACTGTTTGTTGTCAGTCCATAGGTCGTTTGGTCGGTCGCTAGGCCTGCTTGCCTGCAGCTTTGTTTTTTTTTTGTTTTGTTTTTCCACATTTTCTTCGATTTTTAGTTGTTTCCACTCAATTTGTTGTAATACAACAACAGCAACCGAATTGAGTGTTGTTTTGTGTTTTATTGGTCGACGTTGTCGTTTACATTGGTTGGTAGATATTTTCCTGTTTTAATTGAGGTCATCTCTGATAATGACCCATTCTTCGATAATGTTGGATGAGTTGGTCTTTGGTGTGTTTTATTTTGTTTGAATTCCAAACATGTTTCTTTTTTGGCTAATTTAAATTTCGAACACAACTGGAATTGAATAATTTTCGTTATTTCGGCGCAGCAAAAAGTTGTCTTCTACTGGTGTTGGATAAATGTTTCAATATTTTTTTGTTCTTGATGTCTCCGAATATTTAAATTTAATGGTTTGTTACGACTGTTTAATTGTGTCCTAATTCTGCCCCAGTTGCCTGTCGAATTTTCTTGGTTTGCGTTCAGAGAAGAAGGTTGGAAAATAAACGGATGAAAGAAGTTGGCATTTGCAGGAGTAGATAACGATTTTCTATGGCAAGACCTCAGGGTTTTTTATATGAAACCTTCCAATGTAAAGATCTCATTTCGCACTATGAGAACATCTTACGATCTAAGGGTCTTCTAAAAGAAAACCTTCGTGTCTTCTATGAGCAGACATCAGGGTCTTTTACATTAAACCTTCCAATGTAAAGACCTCAGCTTCTACTATAAGAACGATCTAAGGGTCTTCTATAAGCAGACCCTAGAGTCTTCTATGAGAATATTTCAAGGTCTTCTATTAGATGTCCTTCGGGTCTTCCATGAGAAGATCTTAGAGTCTTGTAGGCGAAGACCCCAGGGTCTTCTGTCAGAACATCTTACGTCCTTAGTCGGATCTCACGGTCTTCTTGAGAAGACCACAGAAGAAGACCATAGGGTCTTCAAGGCGAATAGCTCAGGGTCTTCCATGAGAAGACCTTCGGTTATTTTATGTGACGACCTCAGACTTCTATGACTTTCGGGTATTTTATGAAAAGTCATCCGGGTCTTGTATGAAAAGACCTCCAGGTCTTCTATGACTTTCGGTTCTTCTGTAAGAAGACCCTGGATCTTCTTGCGCCTTCAATCGGATCTCATGATTTTATATGAGAAGACCTCCGAGGAAGATCGCAAGGTCCATGTGAATAGCTCACGGTCTTCAAGGAGAAGGCCTTTGGGTCTTCAAGCAGAATACCTGCAGATCTTCTATGAGAAGACCTTCAGGTCTTCTGTGAAAAGAGCTACGAGTCTTCTCTGAGAAGACCTCCGGGCTCTCTATAAGAAAACCTTAGAGTCTTCTATGACAAGATCTCAGGATTTATGAAAAGATCTCATGGTCTTCTATGATAAGGCCGTATTACCATCTAAGTAAAGTCATTGGGGTCTACGATGAGAAGACATAAAGGACTTCTATAAGAAGACCGCCGGGTCTTGTGTAAAAACACTTGAGGGTCTTCTTTGTGAAGACCATAGGTTCTCCTATGAGAAGACCCTAGGGTCTTCAATAAGAAGACCCCTGTGTCTTCTAAGAGCACCTGCAGTGAGAAGGCCTTAAGTTCTTCTATAAGAAGACCTCATGGTCTTCGTTAGGAATAATTCTGATTCTTCTTTAAGAAGACTTCTGGGTCTTCGTTCAAAAGATGTCTGGGTCTTCTTTGAGAGGACTTCTGAATCCTCAGGATTTTCTTCTGTGGGAAGACTTCACAGTCTCAGGTTCTTCTTAGGGTTCTCCTCACGGTTTTCTTTTGTGAGAAGACCTCACAGTCTCAGGTTCTTCTTCTGTGAGAAGACCTTGCAGTTTCAGGTTGTTCTTTATGAAAACGTCGAAGACTTCTATGAGAAGACTTCAGGACGTCTATGGAAATATGGTCTTTTATGAAAGGTTATCAGGGTTTCAATGATATCACTTCCCGGTCTTTTATGAGATGTCCTTGGTGTCTTCCATTACCGACCTAATTTTTTTGGAATTATTGCTAAAACGTACTGCACTATCAATACTTATGTACATATGTGCACATGTACGTACAAAAAATTGCATTAAGAGCAGATATTATGTTGTCTGGCTTGGCCTGGCAAATAATACACAAACGCGCCAGCCAACCAACCAATAATAAAACAATTCAAACTTTCACCGCAATCAAAATGTAGACTCCATCAAGTGTAGCATACCTTCCCATAAGAAATAATCAAAGAAAACGCAAAACAACAAGAAAGGCGCAAGGAAAAAAACAAATACAAAGACAAACAAAACAACAAAATTAATGGTTTTGTCGACGTTAAGTAAAAACAAAACAATGGCATTACTGAAAAACAGTGAGAGAGAGAGATAGGGAGAAAATAAAATCCCTTATTTGTTTGTGATCAAAGGTTGGTTGGATTGCTGGCCCCCATGTGTTGTTGTTATTGTTACAATACAAATCAATTGAGTTTCTTTTCGGTTGTGGTGGGATTTTGTTTTTCTTCTTTTTTAAATATAAAAACTAATATAATAACAAAGAGAGCCACTCGTTTAATTGTTTTTGCTTCATTTCCACCACCACGAATCTCATTGCTCTTGCTCATTCATTTGCTGAGTGATTTCCCCACTCTATTTTGCGGATATCTCTCTGATGGGTTGTTGTTTTTGTTGCCTGGCATGTTGTGTAAAACGGTAGTGGTGGCATGGTGAATTTTATGGTTTCTTTGTGAATACCCTGCCAGCTTTGTTGCTTTGTTCGCGCTCAACCTACCACACCTTCTCCTGCTCCCATCTGTGTGCGCCGTTGTGTGGTGGTGTTGGATTTTTTCAACGATACGCCAAGCAGCCAACAACATTTCATATGAATTCTGCCATTTAGTCGTAAACGAGTGCTTGGAGACTTCACATATTGGAGGATCAAATCCACGTCATAACTTGCATTGGCAAAATATCTACTGCTCTACTGTGTGAGAATACAGGAGAAGAAGAAATAGAAAAAAAGTGAAATACCATACAAAAAATTTGATTTTTCCTCCATGGGTGTTTTTTCATGTGGAATATAGGAAACAAAGCAAAATAATACAGAAATCATAGTGTGTGAAAACAAGAAATTGTATAGAGAAGAAATTTTTGGTAGAATAGGAAAAAATTACTGGATTTAATTAAAATCCACACACACACGCACGCAAAAAAGTGACCATTTGTGTTTGGAGAAACCTTAAAAAATTAAAACGTAAAAAAACCTGAATTGTCATTTGAAAAAAAAAAAAAAATAAAAATTAAATTATAAAGTGGCAAAAATATTTTCCCTTCAAAAGTCTCGCTGAGAAGACAAAAAGCAAAGAAAACGCCAACTCTGTACTAAAATGGTGGTGATTCACTGACAAAAGAAAAACGGAGAATTGTCAAATAGAAAAAAAGTATTTTTTTTGTATGTGAAAGTGCAAGCAAAAGGATAACTGCAGCAGCACATTGTTTTTTTACTTCCAAACAAAGGATAACAACTTGAAAATTAATTGTGATATTTTTTGGTTTTACCCAGAACCAATCAACATTCTTATACGAGTGCAATTTTTAATGCTTTAAATTAAAAAAGTAAAACAAGAAAAAAAAAGGATACAAACCAACCAATCATCTCCACACCAACGCTACTCCATTAAAATTAACAAAGTGTGTTTGGTTAACAAGGCAAACGAAGAATTAAAAGGATTAACTCTCTCTCTTTCCCACTTGCTGCAATAACTGTGATTTTTCTTGGATTATTTTTCCTGCTGCACACACCTAAATTTTGAAAAAAAAAAAAAAAAAGGATTTAATTCTTTACTGCAGTTTAACTCAAAAAATGTAAGTCTTCCTACCATTTAAAGAAAATATTTAAGTAGAGAAAACAGTGTTGGTAAACGTTTCCCCATTTTGCTGCTCATGGTGAGATTTGTTTCTTATTCAACTGACAATGCCAAAGCAAAGCAAGCAATGTTGTCAAATTTCCATTTCACTACACACGATTTATACACGCACCAACACACATAGCCATTACTTCTCTGCCTTTTGCTCTGCTCTTTTTTACTGTGACGCTGTATGTTTGTGTTTGGTGTGCGTGTGTGCTGTGTTTTTAGTATAGTTAGCAGCATGTTATATATCTCTTTGGGCTGTGGGCACAGTGATGCTAATTCGGTGTTTTTTTTTGCGATTGGAATTATTTTTTAGCATCTGATTTAAAAGAGAATGGGTATATTTTCAAAGATATAATTCAGGATTTAAACTCTAAACAGAGTAAATATCAATTGAAATCCCCGGTCTCTACAGATTTCTATTTTTTTTTGCTCTGTTTAGAGTCTAAAATCCCGAATGAAATATTAAAAAACCAAGTCGAAGAAAAATGTGCCCCTATAACATTCATCTTCCTATTTTATTTATAATTGCAGATGTTCTCTCACGATATTTTCTGCCCCATGACAGCTCCAGTTATGTTCTATATCTTAGATGATTTTTTTGAATTTTTATTTTTTTTAGAACATTCTGAGAATATAATATTTCGAATCACATCAAATTCCGTGGGAAATTTTGACTAAAGCTTCTTTGTGGACTAAATGCGATATATTGCATTTAATATCGAACTGTTTTCAAACTTCTTACCGAAATGTTTAATTAAATCAAGCCAAAATTCATGAATTAAAATTAATTTTATGGGAACTCTGGTGATAATTTTACCCAATACGAATAAGGAATTTTAAATAGTTAATAAATTGTTCAATTTGAAACCTAATATATATGATAAGGTTGGGAAAATAATTAGGATTATGTTTTGTATGAAAAATAAGCCATAGCGGACAATTTACTTTGTGTTGTTTATTCTCAGAAAACTAGGTATGACAATAGCATTTAATTTGATCAAAAATTGTAATTGACGATTCGAAAGTAAACACGAAAACGCAAATTCCCAGAGTATTTTTTTTTTTTCATTTTTTAGAAAAAATATTCATGGAATTGTTTTACTTTCGAGTTCACATTAGTGTCGTCATCAGAAATAAGTCCCTAAAAATTCTCGAATTTTTACAATAAATTAACTTTTTAAAAAAACAAAAAATATCTGAAAGCCAAGTACAACACCAAGACTAGAGCTGAATACAGAAAATGTATTGTTACATACATGGTGAGATAAAAAAAAAACTGGAATAAAGTCAAACGCCGTCATTTTCAATATTTGCCGAATGGAATATTGCGTATGTTCAGCTCACGAGCCATTTTTCGGCCACTGCGACGCGAGTTTCGATCAAGTCGCTTCCTTACTTTTCGCACCATTTCTGCTGATTTTGCTGTTTTCTTCCGCCCGCTTCCTAGACGTCGGGCTACGCTACCAGAGACACAAATGATTTATTCACATTTAAATGCTGTAGTGCCCTAAGGATAGCTACTTGTGGTTTTCCAGTCAAATACAAAGAAATCACACTATCACGCTTGAATTAAATCACGAATAACTTTTTCTGGAAAATTCTCACCTAAATGTTAATTTTAAAAGCTGTCGAACGAGTGGATTAGAAGTGACAGCAGTCTGAAGTTGGTTGCAGTTTTTTCATCTCACCCTGTATTTAGAATTGGTTTTTTTTTATATTACAAAACAAATCAAGATTAGTTATTGGTATTTTGTAAAATTTTCATAATCCGTAGATGTTCCAAAACAACCACAAAATAACTAGAACGGTGACTGTATTAATTGAAAAGAAGTAAAAATAAGAAATAACAAAAAGCTAGAATTGTTTTAAAAAAAAGTTAATTAATGTTTGTTTGATTTTTTTGAGTAACTGTTTTTAATTTACTCAAAATTATGGAAATTCCATATTAGATATATATTTTTATTTAATTACGTTCATGACAAAACATTTAACTGGTTCTTCTATATATTGGAAATTACTTTTGCTTAAAAATGCTTGAAGACTACGAAATTTTAACTTTCCTTTATGAAATTTGTAAATTAAATTATTTGGGCTTGTATTATGTCTCTTTTTTTGTATTATTATACGCCCTTTAATTCCTAAATATATATATTTTTTACTACCTTGAAACTCTACAAATTGTTACTTTTTTTTTCTACCTAAATAGATAGCAACACTGATCTCGGGTGTGTTTGTTGTATTTGTAACTGTTTGGTGACGTTATATTTTTACGTTGCTGCTCTGCTCTCTCTCACTCTTTACGAAAGGTGGTACTCTTTGAAAAGAAACAAAAAAAAAAAAAAACTGTGGGAAGAGCAGGAAGGTATGTTGTGTGTTTTTGTTTTTCGCGTCTTCTTCTTCTTCCTTCCACTGTAAATAATAGCAGTCTGGCAGCAGCCAAGCAAATGATTTTGTTGTTTTGTGTTAACTCCACCAGAAACGTAGACGAAATGAAAAGTAATAGGAAAAAGTCAGCCAACAAAGTAACCTTCCATCCCCAGTATGTACGCCCCCCGCCCGCTCGTATGGTCATCAGTAGGAAAAAAAAAACAAGCACCGTCAGAAGCCATTGTTCACATATGGATGGATGGGATCGGTGGATGGACAGACAGACGAATACACCAACACAACACATTGCAAATGACAGCAATATGCTCTGCTGCTGGGTAATGGAGTAAAATAACATTAAAGCAACAACAACAACGAAACGTGTGAATGCTAGTTACTGTGTATTTTTTTTAGTTTCTCCTCTTACTTTGCCAAAAAGAAACAAAATAATTAAATTTTGCATTTGTGTTATAAAAAGCTTGGCTTAAATTTGTTGTTTGTATGCAAAATATTTCATGAAAATATCTGTTTAATAATTTTAAGTGGAAATGTGAAAACTGAAACTATAGAAATATTTTTTTTTTTAATTTGAGTTATTTTTTTAATGCTCTTAACATTAACACATGTTCTCCCTTTCCCTTTGGTTTAAAATTTTCTTTGTTATCATCCATATATCCATCCCCACTGCTGCATAACACTGCCTTTACACGGTGACATTTTTTAGCCATGCCATTTTTGTTTGTTGGTAAAAGGTGTAGAGAGACAAGGATAGAAGAAAAAATGGCACGATGAGCCACCGCACAGGGTTACATGCCATTTTCTTTGCAATTCTCTTTTTGCTTCTTCCGAATTTTTTATGATTTTGACATTTCATATCGCTTCTTCATTGTAATTTTTAATGCGCTTCTTTTATTGTGATGTTTTTAGTGATTGAATTATATGAAAATTAATTGGAAGTATTAAAAAGTAAAAAAAGAAAGTTAAAATAAAAGTTAATAATGCAATATTTAACACCTCAATAACTTTTTCCATCATTTCTTCTTTAGATTCACACATTTAATTTTAAATCACTTCTTTATAAATATCTGTTACAAACAATTAGCTCTATACGAAATACTGAATAAAATAAAATGTCAGAAAAAATGCCAAGCACTATTATCGTAAAATGCCACCGTGTAAAGGCGCGAAGATTTACGCAGAAATTTTAAAAGAGAATTGATAAAAATGCCAGCTAAAAATTGCACCGTGTAAAGGCGGTGTAACTAGTTTTTCCCATTCTTATTTGCCCTCTGTTTGCCTTCGTTCTTTTTATTTATTCTATTTTACTTTTGTATCAAACAAAAAAACCCATGATTTGGCTATATTTTGAGAGAGAGTCTAAAAACTGGTGAGAAACGGAGAGAGAGAGCATCATAAACTTGTGTTATTTACTTTGTGTTGTATTTGCCATGTCAAACTCTCCGTAGAGTGGTGGTGGTGTTCTACGTCAATAAGCCACAAGCCACCAGTGTTCAAAAGTGCATGACTCAGGGTTGGAATTTTTTAATTAACCAAGAAAATAACAATATTGCATGATGCATTCAAAAATGAAGAAATAATTGTTAAGTTATTCTTTTTTCTTTCTTGTTTTTTTTTTTAAGTATAATTGTGAGTTTCTCCTTGTTGTGAAATAGTATTTAAAAAAATTAACACACTGGCACATGAATCGGGGTTTATAACTTAAAATCGTTGGTAGAGTACACACTGTCAAACATGTTGACCAGCGTGGCTTACATTCGTTTGCTGCCAAAGTAAAACAGTTATCGATTTCGAAGAGAAAAAGTGAAAAATATGTTTATATGCTTCAACATGTTTTAATAAAAAACACGTCATTTATATTGTGAATCACCGAATGTCTCCTCAAATCGTTAAATCACAATCCTTTGCCATTATCGTTGTATTTTATGGCTTTTAGAATTGCTGACTTTTAGAAATTAAATTTCGATTTTGAAGTCATAGATTTTTAAATTATCTGTTTTTTCTTTCCACTTTGACATTAGACCCTGAAATTCGAGCGACATTTTTTAGAAAGTCTACAGGATTTTTTAATGTAATTTTTACGTTAGTTTTTAATTTTATTGAATGAAAGCAAAAATGTTGGAAATAACATCAAATATTGGAATAAGTTGAGATTTGTTCGAATTGCAAATCTTGTTTATTTGTGGTGTCTTGCGGCTGTGCCAGCCACCCTGCCAGCATCTCTCAGTAGAAAAATAAACAATATTTTTGTTTGTTAATTTGCTGTCTTTTTTTTTTGTATTTTTTGAGATTTCATAAAAGCATTTCCGCGAAAATTTCATAATACAAAATTTGTTTTCAAAAAAAAAAAAAAAAAAACACCGATGAGTCATTATCTAATGCTCTCCGTATCTCTCATAAAGATAAATATTTGTTGAGTGTTGTTTTTGTGATTAATAATATTGGCCAAAAGGATGATGACCAATCATTTGTTAATAATCAAATCGAAAATTTCAGCAAATATGCAATCTTTTATTAACTTTTTGGATAAAGGAATTTTGTTTGACATTTCTAGAAAAAAAAAAT